GTGCTTTCACGCTTTCTTTCTACCCACCAGGGTAAAAATGAACTATCGGACTATGTCCAAGAGCTGCGAACGCTCATGGCTGCAATGCAGTCTGACCCTCTGCCTGAAGCAGTCCATGTGACTATCTGCATGGAAGGTCTACGTACTGGCATTGCCAGAACCGAGGTTTTTCGGGTTCACCCCTCTACGTTTGAAATGGCTGTGAGAATTGCTCTTAATGCTGAGCATAACTTCAAGTCGGCCAGCTTGGTTGGAATGGATTCAATCCTCGCTCTGTGAGAGCAAACTATTCGGGTACCCCTGCCTATAATAGGCCGGAACTGATGGATCTCAGCTATGCTGAAGATGGAGGTGAAGCTGAGCTTCAAGCTGCTGAGCAGCAACACGTCGTACGACGATGCTTTATGTGCGAAAGCACTAAACACTTGCGGCCTGGTAGCCCTTTGCGTAAGAAACGCCAGGCTACAAGCCAACACTCGACCCCGAGTCAGAAGTCTGGCATGGCACGGGGAAATGCCGACACCCAGTAGGCGCGGGGCGCCCTACTGGGGAAGAACTATGTTCTGTTACACCTTTAGAAGGTAAAGGAATGCAGGGCTTAGCCCCAAAGAGTACCATACCTACAGGTATGGTGCGTGGATACAAGTCTGGCTTGTTGGTTGCCGAGGCGAAAATTAAGGGCTTTGAGAAGCCTTGGTCGATATTGATCGATTCTGTAGCGTCTTGCAATTATGCTCGACGCCGTTCCCTTGAAGGAAGTCAGCGTTATGCTGAGGCGCTTACAGCGCATGAGGGTGATTCTATCACGGTTCGTTTAGCGACTGGAAGTCGCGTAACTGTGCCTAAAGTTCCATTGAACTTAGGTATAAAGTTTTAGACTTTGGCAGTATTGAGCGCTGTCTTGTCCTAGATTTGGACTCGAGATATGATCTCATCCTAGGTATGGCTTGGATTGAGCGCCATGAGCCATGGATTGATTGGAGGTCCAAGACCTTAGGCACAACGCGCAATGTTCCTGGCGAAGCTTTGGAGAGTCATGAACCCACCTTCGCTAGGCAACAAAAACGCTACTGGCACGAGTCTTTGACAGAAGATGTCAATGTGCTGGATATTGGAATGTCTGAGTTATCTAACTCCAATGTTACAAGCATAAGTTTCGAGCTTAGCTCGTCTAGTGAAACGGCACGTACTCCGTTGAGTGTTACTCGTTGTGATAACGAGTCACTGCATGCTGAAAGCATGGTTGGCCTAGGGCCGAGAGATCAAGGATGTGATTCCTTTGATGTGTGTATGGTGGCACGTGAAACTACACCGAGTGCGGTCGGCCGTGAGAGCACCGCACTGAATGTCGGTAATGACATTTTTGGCGATACGCCATTTAGTGTGGGCGGCCGTGAAGGCACCACGCTTAACGTCGGTAATGGCGTGTTGGCGATTCGCCATATAGTGTGGGCGGCCGTGAGGGCACCACACCTAATGTCAATAATGATATTGTTGGCGATACGCCGTATAGTGTGGACGGCCGTGAGGGCACCACGCTTAACGCCGGTAATGGCGTTGTTTGCGATACGCCGTATAGTGTGGGCGGCCGTGAGGGCACCACACCTAATGTCAGTAATGATACTGTTGGCGATACGCCGTATAGTGTGGACGGCCGTGAGGGCACCACACCTAATGTCGGTCAAGACAAAACCTCTCGTATAGAGCGTACTATGGTTGGTAGTAACTATGGGGACAATATTGTCCCGACCCCTAAGGGGTGAAAGGTCTCGAAGAGACGATCGAGACGCCGGGTAGCTACTTTTAAGCGCCAGGCGTCCTCACAGTCACATAGTGATAATAGTAATACACTATATACACTTGTTAATGGAGTGATTGGTCGGGTTGATGACAGTGTTTGCCTTGAAACCCTTCCATCAGTGGACGCTCTTTGTGAGCTAGACGAAATGTCTGATGGCGAGTTTAGCCAGGCCTTAAAGGCAGGAGAGTTATCCGAGTTAGCGGTCATTAGACCTGATACTGAGTTGAATTCTTCCTCGTTAATGGATGAGTCTGTCCTAGAGGATACAAAGGCGGCACTTAGTGCACGAAGTGGATCTTCGATCCTTAAAGATCCTTTGGATCCGTTCTATCCTTTAGCTAAGGAATTTCAAGATGTGGTGTGTCACAACCCACCTTCTGCCTTACCTCCCGATAGAGGTGTACGTCATGAAATTGACTTAGTTGCCGGAACTAAATACTGCGTAACACGGCAGTGGCCTTTGCCTAAAGAACAGTGTGACGTCATTGGCGATTTGTTTTGTGCTAAGCACGCGGCTGGAATGGTTCGTAAGAGTCAATATCCCCATTCAACATTGACATTTTTTGTCAAAAAGCCAAATGGCAAGTGGCGTATTGTGCATGCTTATAATAAGCTTAATGCAGCCACTATACCGGCACAGACGCCTACTCCTGGAAAGGATGTTCTTCAGAACAATATGGCAGGATATACATTGTACAGTGAACTCGACTTAGTCGACGGTTATTACTAACTGCTCATGCGAGCAAGTGATATTCCGCTAACAGCGGTGAGTACTCCGAGCGGTATGCTCTGGGAGTGGCTCGTTATGCCACAAGGGCTATCTAACGCCCCGGCTACATTTAACCGGTTGGTAACGCAACTATTCAGACCTCATCGAGGCTATGCACAAACGTACTTTGATGACATTTTTGTCCATAGTCGTGCAATGAATGGGCGATCAGATGTGGATAACCACATCGATCATTTACGAGCGGTGCTCGAGTGTATGCGAACAAATAAGTTGTATGCGAACGCATCGAAGTGCATCTTTGGTGCAGAAGAGATTCCCTTTCTAGGGTGCTTCATTGGGAAGCGAGGCCTTCGAGCGGATCCCGCTAAGGTAAAATCCATAGTCGATTGGCCAGTCCCCAAGAACCGAAAGGACTTGCGTAAGTGGCTTGGCCTTGCCAATTACTTACATAAGTACAGTGATAATTACGCAGATATGGCTCGGCCATTGTCCAATCTCCTTAAAAAGGATGTGGATTGGTGTTGGATAACCACCGAACATGATGCGTTTGAAGCCGTTAAGGAAAGTCTCCTTCATGCGCCAATATTGGCTTTGCCCGATCCTGATCGGCCTTTCAGTGTCGTCTGTGACGCATCTGACTTTGCCATGGGCAGTGCTCTGTTACAAACAGATGTCGATGGACGCGAACGCGTCATCGCATTCGAGTCTCGACAGCTGAAAGCTGCCGAAAAGAACTATCCAGTTCATGACAAAGAGCTACTTGCTATGAAGTACGCTCTTGTCAAATTCAGAGTACATCTGCTTGGCTCAAAGCCGTTTGTGGTCTGTACAGATCATGCGTCATTACGCACTGCGACACAGTCGCCTCATCTCTCACAGAGAATGGCTCGTTGGCTTTCCTTCTTTGCCGAATATAACTTCGAGGTGCAGTACAAGCCAGGTAAGCAAAACGCTTTGGCTGATGCGCTATCGCGTCGACCTGACTATGAGCTTGCTCATGTTACGACTCTGTCGTCGTCGGTCACTGACTTAATCCGTGCGGCATATGCCAAGGATGAACAGTGTGTAGCTTTGCTACGGGCTCTTGGGAGCGATGAGTTTAAAGACTCGGACATAGAATTGTCGGCACGTTTACGTGCGAGGCTACATCGATATTCTATCGATAATGGCCTGTTGTGCTATCGCACGGATATTGAGGACAACCCTCGTATCGTTGTACCTCATGATGAGGAATTAAAGTATCGGATCCTCTATGAGGCACATGATACTGCTTTAAGTGGTCATCTCGGTCGGGAGAAGACTTATAGCTCGGTGAGCCAAAGTTATTGGTGGCCCAAACTTTATAAGTGGGTGCGCACCTATGTGCGTACGTGCGAAACGTGTCAACGGGTAAAACCCTCGGCACATGCGGCGGCGCCGCTGGCTAGTTTTCCAGTACCCACTGGTTGTTGGGAGTCCATGAGCATGGATTTTGTGTTTGGCCTACCGAAAGATTCGGAAGTCAACACTGGTATTGTGGTCTTTGTTGACCGATTGAGCAAGATGGCTCACTTAGCGGCTGTGCCGGATAGCATCGATGCTGAAGGTACAGCAAAGCTGTTTATCGACCGTGTGTTTCGCCAACATGGCTTGCCTGTGTCAATTATCTCTGATAGAGACCTCCGCTTCACTGGGAAATTTTGGAAGTCTATCTTTGAGGTGCTTGGCACTCGGTTGGACATGTCCACAGCGGATCATCCGCAGACCGACGGTCAAACTGAGCGCGTAAACCGCGTCATCAGCGATATTTTGCGCAGTATTTGCGCGGATACGCCTAGGCGTTGGAGCTCAATGCTCCCTGTTGTTGAGTTTGCGTTGAATAACGCTGTTCATGCCTCAACAGGCTTTACTCCGTTCTATATAAACGGTCTCACCCACCCTCGCGTTCCGTTAACGCTATCACTACGTGAATCAGGGCTTGGTGGGGAGAGGTTGCCGATCGGCTTGCTGATATCAGCCCTGCTACTGTCCAAAAAAAGGTAAGCGAGTTTCTCACAGCGCGATTAAATGTCTTAAGACATGTGCGTGACGCAATGGCTGATAGCCAAGATACCAAAAAAACAACAAGCTGATGCCAAAGGCAGAAATTGTATTGAACGTTATGAGGTCGGAGACCAAGTACTACTCAATGCTAAAAATCTACCTACACTACAAATGTAGTGTCTGCTGTCTTTAAGACGAAGTTGCGTCCACGCTTTATTGGACCGTTTACGGTCACGGCCAAGAAGGGACTTGCGTATACGCTTAACCTTCCGCGCAAATTGCGCACACATCCAGTGTTCTACGTAGGCTTACATAAGCCGTACCGGGATCCTTCCCATGTGAACTTAGAGGCGCTTGCGCCGACGACAAGGGCACTGCCCCGGATTGCGGTAGACGAATCAGCAAGTCCAACTGAGCCTCGCTCCGAGTTTGAGCTTGCTCCATCGCCTATCGGCGTCTTGGCATCGCATCCAGCATGCACTGGGACTTACCCAAGGCCTCTTGAAGACCCTTCACTTCGAGAACCAATTTCTCGTGGGCCTCCACCGGTACACCGGCCGCCACCGACTTTGCTCGATGAGCATGGGTGTCGTCAATTTCATGTCGAGAGACTACTGAAACGACGTCGTCGTCAGGGCCAATACCAGTATCTGGTAAAGTGGCGTTGGTACCCTGAGTCTGACAACTCATGGGTGTAACGGGGCACCCTGAAGCTTGTACTGGTGACAGTACAAGCTACTTATTCTGATGACAGAATAAGGCGGTGCCTCGTAACTTCACGTACACTCGTACGTGCAGAGGAAGACGGTAAGAAGAAGCGAGTACTTGGTTAAAGTAAAAAGTAGAACTGTATTTAGTATAGTTAATGTCTGCAATAAGTCACTATTTATCTTCATCTAACTATGTCTAAATACAAATGTGTAAATCAACTATCTGCTCACCACTCATTGCGTGCGTCTGTCGTGGCGCGTCTTCGTTGGTTGATATAATGGCCTATATCAACCAATTAGGAACTACTCGTAAGTGCTACAGAATATTTGTCCTTGTGACAATATTCTGAGAATATAACTCTTATAGTTATATTCTATTAACAATTTCTTTTAAATTGTTATGTAACGGTTCACCCCGTTACAGGCGGGTTGTTGGCCACAGACTGACTAGCACTCGCGGCTACCTTAGTAGCCGAAGCATAGCGCGTGCGCTTGCGCAATTGGCCTCTGGCCTTAAGCTTGGCATAATCATACCGAAGCTTGCGTTCAAGACGCACGTCAGCCACACTGGCACTAGCCCTTAGAGCAAAAATATTGCTGAGGCGACGCACATAGTGCACCCAGTGAGCAAAGGCATCGTCTTCTTCGCTCACTGTTTCGCCTGCGAACAAGAGAATGGGTATACCCTTGATCGGTGGAACCGGTGTACCACGCGCTTGCATGTCAAGGCGTGCCTTGTATTGACTTTGAGTCGTTAGGTGCGGCATCAGGTACCTCTCGCGAAGTGCCTGGCAGCTCACAACCTCCTCAAGGAGTCTAAGCCCATGTTCAATGACCCACGTTGCCAATGTTTGGCCGGCCGCTTGACGTAGACGTTCCTCCACACTGGGTGGGGTGAACACATAGTCACGCTGGCGTTCAAGGGTTGTAGCCATTTGTACATGACGCTGAGCGTTTTCTTCTCTTTGAACAAGCAGTTGTTGTTGCTCATCGAGCGGGTTCGTGATGATAGTCTCATCAGACCCAGACGCTGCATACTGCGCTGGTGGCGCGCTCGCACCTCCACGTTCAGCGAACGGATTTGGGGTGTTCGAAAGTTGTTCCTCAGGCATCAGTGAGCCGGACATTGTCCCTGTATCACCGCGGACACTGGTATCGCTACCATAGTCCACCTCCTCCTCTATCCCGAGGTAGTCACACAGAGCCTTTGACTCGTTTGGTGATGAGGACATCGTGCTGGAGCGTACGTTACCGTGAGGTTCACCGTACGCGCACTGTTCTCGCTGAGAACACAAGTTCGATTGACGTTTTGGCAAACGTCAGTCTGGCGGGGGAGGGTGTAACGGGGTTGCACGAAATTATGGTACGTTGTACCAGGGGTGTTACACACCTGAGGTTGTCCCTTTGTGAAGGTGATATAGAATATCTTATTGGTTTGTAGGGGCTGACGAGTGTCAGCCATTAGGTACGAAAGATCTTTGAGTAGGATTAAGATATTCTATAGGCTTTAACAAAAAAAATCAGTTCCCATTTTGATCTGAAGGACACGTGGCTTGCGAGCCGTCTTGATCGTTGATCACTGATCACGAAGAGCTAGCGACACCTCCTTGAGGTAGCTACTCTTGAGCACTGAGTGCTGTCGATTCACTGAATCGTTAGGTCCCCCTGGAACAGGGATCTGAAGCTGTAAAGCTTGTTGACTCGTAAAGTCGTTAGTTCTTTGGAACTAAGTTGCTCGTAGAGCGTTAAGTCTTTATCTGACTTAAGGGGCTGTGTAGCTCCGCTACAGTGCTGCTGTGAGTCGTTGACAGGTACTACCACGTTGGTTTAATATTTATCGTCGACGTTCTGGGTAAGGTTCAATCTTGCTGTCTTGTTTACTAGCATCGAAACAGCTGCTTCCTTGGTATCAAAACAGCTGCTTCATTGGCATCAAAACGGACATTCGATGAACATCAGTGTAACGGAGCGGTGTAGCGTCATGTATCGACCGAAATATGTTGTTTCTGTTCCTTTGTTTCGCATATGGTCGATCCAGTCTTGCTCATTGTTCTGGATGGTAACCCGCGAATCGACCATCAGCGTTACAACTGCACTTTGAGCTACACAACCTCGAGCTTGCTTTGTGTCGGGTATCAAAGCGTGGTCGCTAAGCAGAAATGTTCACACGGAGATCTCCTATCATGGCATCAATCACGTCTGTGAACTTTTCAAAGTTGCTCCATATTAAAAGTTACGAAGTTGGAGACCTAGTTTTAATTAACGAAGAACGCACCTGTAGCAGGCATTTTTATAGATCGTAAAAGCATCTTGTGTGACAATATCACAAGCTACAGTCGGGGTTGCGGCGGCGGTCAGCTCAGATCTTCGTCTTTGGTAATTTTCTTTTCTAAAGGGTACGGGGTTTTGCGTAGGTCTGTAGGCATTTTGTAGTGTACAATTATGCAGTCATTAATTTTGCTTTAGTGATGACGATTGGTTTTCGAAAGCGTTTGGATCATTCTGGCTTCCTACATTTTTCTTGCAAAAATTACAGCTCACAATTTTGATATGAGTTCTTAAACAAACACCAACTTGGGTAGAGCATTTTATGCATGTGGCATTGGTGGAGCGAAAAGGAACTTGCTAAACAAGTTGCTGTATCGGCAAGCCCGCGCGCATGTGGCACAACAAACAATTGTACAGGATGCCGACCAGTGGCTCATAAATCCTGAATGGGCATGTAATCACATACATGGACGGATATTGATGCGGGTAAAATTTGCCAAGTATAGTTCTCTAGCATACGCACCTTCCGCATTGCCACTTTATCTTTGATTCCGAACTTTTTGCCTGGAACTGTCCGACATGAATATTATAACTGCTTACAATATTCGACGCGGATATTCGATGCCACAAACGTTCATTTCTAACCGTTCGATAAAAAAATCCTCAATGTTCGTCGAATATTCGACTTGCCCAGCCCTACATTTTACAACAATCCAATTAGAGTTAAACCTCCGTTGTTGGTTGAAAAATAAAATCCCATCCACCGAGACTATAAGTTATGGGAGGGAGCACTGAAGCTAAGAAAAAGTACACTCGGAAGCGATCGTCGGGAGGAAGTTGCTGGAGTAACCCCCTACCACACGAGGTTATCACTCACAAAGTTATGTGTAGTACACAACTATCCAAGACACCCTATCATCTCCATCCTTGCGACGCAACCCCCACCAGTTACGTCATGGAGACCCCCGCCGCGCTGGCTACGGCCGTCGATGCTCCTGCTACTAGCGTTTCCAGCACTGAAGTTCCTTTTACCGGTTCTGTACCCTCCGTACCGGCCGTCAAGACGCCGCTGGAACGGCTCACAGAGACAGTGGACGCGAACCCGCTGGACTTTAACGCTTGGGTCAGTCTGCTGACGCTCGTACAGAGCGAGGTACGACGCTGTGATTGCTGCTACCTGCTGTAATTGGTTCTGTCCTACTCACCGTTGAGTTTTGTCTGTGGTCGTAGACGGAGACCTCGCGCGAGACGGTGGAATCCACGTACGACCGCTTCTTGGCAGAGTTCCCGCTGTGCTTTGGCTACTGGAACAAGGTGCGGCAATACGAAGAGTATTGGGTTATAGTTTGTGGGTGTTTGACTCGTACTTACTGCTGTGGTGCTGTAGTATGCACTGTACGAGCACGGACTTTGCAACAAGATCACCGAGGATGGCGTTGCCACTGTCGCGACACCAGAAGAAGCGAAACAAAAGGCGCGTGAGGTGTACGAACGAGGCGTTGTGGCAGTCCGGTACAGCGTGGACATGTGGATGAAGTACTGCGAGTTCCTTATCCACAAGCTGCACAGCCCGGTCGATGAAACGCGACCGTGAGTTTGTCTTTCTGCGGTGTTGTTTTTTCGTGGTGCGAAACACTCGTTTTAATCACGTTTCGGTCAATCGTGTTGTTGATGTGATGCAGAGTGCTTATGAGAGCTGTGGAGGCGTGCGGAGCTGACCCTATGGCTGGCCCATTGTGGGAGCTGTACATCCAGCTGGAGACAGTAAATGTAGGTGACTTCGACTCGTTTCTTCTGCTGCGTTGTGTTGATTGTTGTCCTCTCTTGCATGTTCAGAACGACATGCCGCGTTTGAACCAGGTATTTAAGTCGATTATGCGCCAGCCGCTTCGCAATCTTGAGGAATTCTGGGAGAAATACAATCAGTTTGTGCTAGCCCAGCAATTGAATGTTCTAGCGACGCCTGAGGAGCTGAAGGCACTTGTTGATAGTGGAGAAGAGCTCATGGACGAAGGACTACTGCGTGTCAAGATCGTAAATGTTATGGAGGCAGTGAAGAACAAGACGATGGAGGACATTTACCGTCGACAGGCTTTCGAAGCTGGGATCGATCGAAGCTACTTCCACGTAACCCCAGTGATTGAGTCTGCGATGAAGAACTGGCACAGTTACCTGGACTTTGAAGAAGCGTCTGGCAACGATGCACGCTGCGAGACTCTGTACGAGCGCTGTCTCATTTCTTGTGCGAATTACGAAGAAATTTGGTTACGTTACGTTCAGTGGAACGAAAAGGTGCGTGGATTCGGAAGCGCTGATGCCGTGTTCCAACGCGCGGTGACGATCTTCCTCAAGTATCGTGCAAGTACCTATTTAGAGTACGCCTCTTTCTTAGAGGCCCACAACAAGCTGCAAGAAGCTCAAGATGTGTACATGAAGGTTCTATCTGATGTGGCCCCGAAGCTCGTTGAGGGGTTCTTGCGCTATTGTAACTTTGAGCGAAGACGAGGAGATGTCGAGGCGGCAAAAACCTGGTTCGAGCGGGGGATGGATGCAGTCGAGAACGACGCAGAAGCATACGCCTATGTGGCTATATCGTACGCCACGTTCCTTCACAAGAGTGTTGGCGATGCGGCATCGGCTCGTGCAGTGTTTGACTGTGCGGTGCAGAAGCACGACGGGTCGGTACTGCTTTGGCTGAATTTCATTCACTTCGAGATGAACGCGGGTGGCACAAATTCAGATCTCGTGTCCCGGGTCACCCGTGTTTACGAGCTTGCACTTGTGAACAGTTGCAGTCTCTCGATGAACGAGAAGAATGACTTGTGGTTCCTGTATGTAGAGTTCATCGAGAATTTTGGCGACAACATAGCTCAAGTGCGCGATTTGCGTGACAGAGAGATGGCATGGAAGCTCCAAAATGCTCAGTCTCGAAACCGCACGATCAAGGTGCTCCACTTTCAGCCCGGCAAAACAAACGAAATAAGCGGATACAGCTCGAGTCTGGATCCAGGGCTGAAACGTCCTCGTTATACCGCTCCGCAAACCCCAGTAGTCATTTCGACCCCGGTGGCAGCAACGACACCCACAGCAGCAACAGTGACAACACCAGTTGCGGCTTACTACCAAGGCTATCAGGTAATTCTCACTTTGTTCATCCCGGATGCAGCTTGCATTCGTGTGCTTATGGATACGGCTTGGGCAAAAGTAGCCCCAGATGGAAATAGGTGGAGCACCACCCCGCTAAAGCGGCCGACTTCATGTCCTCTTTTGATCGGGACCTGCCAGACGTGATCTGCATGTGTTGCGACATGGAAGGAGGCAAAGAGCTTTTTGCAGAAACTTCGTTTTCGTTCTTTGAAGCAAACTTTGTCTTGCAAGGTATAGTGGCGACTTGTGAGTGCTCATCTGTGCATGTTGTTGGTGTGTTTTATTGTAGGGATATGGAGCTCCGGTCCAGGCGTTCTCTCAAGCTAACCCCACGGTTGCTGCAACTCAGCCGGCCTACGCACAAGCGCAGTACTCCGGCTACTATCAGCAGTAGCAGTATGTTGCCAGCAGTGCGAGTTCAGTAGTCTTCGCGTGGAAAGCTATAATGGTACTTCAGCATTCGGTATACTGAAGTCTCTGCGTTGCCATTTAGAGAGCGAAGGCAGCACACGAAAGAGCTCGTTGGTTTCTAATAAGAAACGGCATACAAGATGCATCGTCCAACATGTTGATGTAGCCACCTCCACTTTCTACTTGCCAATCATATCCAGCGCTTGCTTACTTTTAAGAGTTTGCACTTGTGAGAGATGTACAAGTCGCAGCTTCGATAGCTCCTTCTGGATGCCTGATAGCGCCGCCGGTTTTACGAGCCGGCACTCCGCATAACGTTGCTGCAGCACCTGAATCTCACGGTATTGCTGCTGCATGAGGCGGTGCAGTTGGAAGGAGTGCTCCATTTTGATCTGCTCGGCTGATTTTAACCCCTTCGGTGCTTTGCCATTGCCGCTTTGAGAGCGCTGCCGACTTCCTGCGGCAGCAAGCTGCGCTTGCATCTGCTGCATTTTTTGTGTCGCTTGCGTCTGCTGCTGCTGATTGGGTGTTGGGCGAGCGATAAGCGTTAGCGCATTGAATGGGACCTGGAACAGCGCCTCGTGTTCGTCAATGTAGACAGAGTAGAGCTCTTGTCCATAGATCTGAGGAGCTGCAACAATGCGCCCCATCTTGCCCGCCAAATTTCGAGCCCCACATGCGATTAGGTCGGCAGTACTCTGCAGCAGTAGAACAGGCAACAGCAAGCAAGCAATATCGTCAGCAAAATTACTTGCAAAACATTCCGTCGATCGAGTGCGAGTCCGCACTGCCCTACCCGGATGAGCACTGTCGTGCCTACAACAAAGTCCGATCTCTTGGACTGTTGCTGTTGCTGAGCACTCTTCATCTGCTGTTGGTGCAGCTGCATTTGAGCTGGGGTCATTCGTCCAGTCGACACTGACGACGTCACCGTTGGTGTCGCCAACGTTGTCGACGGGATCACAGACGACACAGCTATGGTGCTAGGAGCTGGCTTGACTGCTACTGGCTGTGATCGAGGCAGCATTGCCTGCAATTGAAGTACCGCAGCTGGATTGAATGTAGCATTCGTGCTATCGATGGAGACCGTGCCCGGTCTCGAAGTGTACGTCATCGTACCAGTCGACGGTTTACCGCTAGTGCCCAATGTCGTGCGTTTCTTGCGACTCAGCACCGCTTCGTACCCCTTATAGGCAACTTTGGCTCTCCGCTTGAGGTTATAAGTCCTGTAATAAAAGCACAAATGAAAGCATGGGTACAACATACCTATCAACATGGCTACATCTGGACAAGTAGCAAGAAGACCTACCGCAGCTTCGTGATGTCTTCGTTCTCACGCACTAGAGCAGCCACATGGTCAAAGTATTGCGCCGCATTTTTGGGCTCTACAGCGACTGCGCGGCGCGTTAATAGGCCTTGCAAATGCCGTTGCGACGACGTCGAAGGAGACGATCCGGACATGGCTATCATTCGACGTCAGCGGTTTCGAAAAGGCACTCGACTATTTTTGTCTCATTTCTATAAATTGGTCCATCTATTTTTAGGATGCGAGTACCTATTATCCAAAATCTATCTCTTGAAGTGGTCGAGTGTCTCAAGAAGAGAGACTAAAAATGAGCGATGGCACGAAACTGGTCGGCGTGATTGGGGACGAAGACACGGTCACGGGCTTCATCCTCGCGGGCATTGGCCATCGCACCGCCGAGGGCACGAACTTCCTTGTCGTCAAATCCAGTGCGTCTTCCCCGTTGTTTCTCTACCGCCACTACGATGTGTTTGTACTAACGTTTACGATGTAGCCACTCCGGTGTCTGCTATCGAATCCAGTTTCCGGTCCCTAACAAGTCGCGATGATATCGGGATCTTGTTGATCAACCAGCACGTACGAAGTCGCTGTGCATGCATACCCTTATGATGTGTGAGAGAGGGGCTTGTACTCACGTGTGCTGCTCTGCTGCTTGGACAGGTGGCTGAAGAGATTCGTCACCTTCTCAACACCTACGACAAGACCATTCCAACGGTGCTGGAGATTCCAAGCAAGGACTCGCCTTACGATCCTACGAAGGATTACATCATGAAGCGAGTGAACCTCATGCTGGGAGAGTGAGAAACGGCGAGGTCGATCACTGAATTTGCAATGCTACAGAAGGCAAGGCGATTGATCGACGAAAGTAACGCGGTAAAACTTCGTGTCGTGCGTGCTTCTGCATCGTCGCTATATTTCCTGACACCTTTGCTCCATCCCCTTCAAACCAATAGGTGCCCTATCGAACAGCTGAGGCCTCTCACTCTCTCCTCCTGCTTGCATCGCGTCAGCACCGTCACTCCCGACTAAGCATTAAAGCAACCAGCGACATCAAGCCATTGCCTACTGTTTCTTCTGAAGTGTCGCCGAGAGCCAGTCCAGACCCTCATACAGCCCGTCACCCGTCGTCGCACAACACGCCTGGATGAACCACTGGCGGTGGCGCAGGCCGTGCAGCCCCAGCTTGTCCGTCATCTCGGCCGCACTCATGGCGTTGGGCAGGTCCTGCTTGTTGGCAAACACCAGCAGCACCGAGTCCCGCAGCTCGTCCTCGTTCAGCATGCGGTGCAGCTCGTCACGAGCCGCGTCCACGCGATCGCGATCGTTCGAGTCGACCACAAAGATCAGACCTTGTGTGTTCTGGTAGTAGTGGCGCCACAGCGGACGGATCTTGTCCTGGCCACCGACGTCCCACACCGTGAAGCTAATGTTCTTGTACTCCACCGTCTCCACGTTAAAGCCTACCACCGAGTCAGAGCCAGCGCCACAGCTTTAGTCAGACTGCTCGATTGCATCAGAGACACAAGAAAGAAAAACACAATCACAAGAGAGACGCCCTGTCTGTCGCCGTCGAGACGGACAGCATCAAGCCACCAAGAAGAGTGTGGATATCTTCTGTATCGTTCTTCCTTGTGGTGCCGTTGTCGATAGTGAGACGTACCGATCGTCGGGATGGTCGTGACCACTTCGCCGAGCTTGAGCTTGTACAAGATCGTGGTTTTACCGGCCGCGTCCAGACCGACCATGAGGATCCGCATCTCCTTCTTGCCGAAGAGGCGCTCAAACACGCGCGAGAAAGCCATGCCCATGGTTGCTGGCTTGACTTGACTTGACTTGCTCCCTTGCTCGCTCCCTGCTTTAACCCCTTGGTTCTCTTTCGGCAAATGAGGAGGGAGAACGGGGGGAGGGGCGGGGCGATCGAACGACTTGGGACGAAATAGACCCGGGAATTAGCGAAACCGCGAGCGTCAATGACCAATCAACGTGTGCCACCAAAGATTAACCCCTCTTTTTAGACGCAACAAGCTCTTGTTTTACGAGCGCAGTCGCCGAAATTAGCGTTTGTAGCCCCCCGAATTGAACGGATCGAGCGCTCTTGACCCAAACAAAGGGGCAAGTAATTTCGGTCAATGGCCATCGTGCGACTCCAACGAAAGCCAAAGGATCCGGAACAGTCTCAAGAGGTACGTACCGACGCGATCCGCTGCGACTCTCCCGTTCATTGTGCATTCATTAGACCATGGACGTCTCCAGCGACGCGCCCACGTTAACCCTCTCGTTCTCCTGTGTCTTTTGTGCTGCCGTCTATAGAGCGGTAAAGGGCCACACAGCGTGTAGATCGGTTGCAAACAATCTACAGTCTGTTGCTCTCTGCGTTGGCTTTCGCGCTCCGTCTGCCGCCTTGTCTCTCTCGCCCTCTCCCCGCCCCTTTGCCTCTGTTTTGCCCAAGTCGAACTAACTGCCAATGGCGTCCGACGGCTCTGGAATGAAGCGCCAATTTGACGGTGGCGCAGACGACTTTGACCCGTCCAAGCGCAAGCGCAACTCGCAGCCGACATCGCGGGTAACGTCTTGACTGTTCCTTGTCCTGTGTATCCCATGCAGTGCTTTTCGCTCCTGATGACGGGAGCTTTTTTTCACGATCCTGTTGTCTTGCGCTGCTCACCCCCCCCTGCTTTCTCTCTTCTTTTCTTTGCTCTGCTCTGTATGTCCTGTTGTGCCCTGCCCTGGTCGCCAAGTAGGTTGTGTTTGTCTGCGGACTTCCTGCTGACTGTCTGGAGAGCGAGCTACTGGCACTTTGTTGCCCGTTTGCTGTTGTCGAGAAGAGTCTCATGGTGCCCCAGAAACGCCAAGCCTTCGTGCAGTTGCCCGACGTCACGTCAGCTGCCAACCTCGTCACCTTTTACCAGACACGTGACGCGCTGATCCGTGGCAAGAAAATCTTCTTTGACTTCAGCAATCGGAACGAAATCATCACGCATCAAGAGAGCGAGGCTTCTGCTTCTTACCACCACGAGCAGCAGCCGCAACAGCATCAACAAGTCGGACCTCACGGACTGCCAAGAGCCGCGCCGTTCCAGCAACCCCTGTCCACGCAGTTTGGGCCATCGCAAGATCAGCCTCCATTCGGTGAGAGAGAGTATTGCTACATTACGTGTAGGGGTGTACACTGAAATGATTTCGTTCTTGCATCTAGGTCAGCGGGGTATGATCGCCCACGGTGGCCCTCGTCGTGGCATTGGCCCACCGAATCAGATCCTTATGGTGTCGGTGTCCAAGATTGAATACGACATCACTGTCGACGTCTTACAGCAGGTGCGATAGAGAAGCAATCTGCTTGTATTCCCACAACGTGGTGCTCACTCGAACTCGTTCGTGTTGCAGGTTTTTCAAAAGTTTGGCAACGTGCAGAAGATCGTCACGTTTTGGAAGAACAACGAGTTCAAGTCGCTCGTTCAAATGGAATCGGTGGATCAAGCACAAGCTGCACAATCGGCGCTGGATGGTCGCGACATTTACACAGGCTGCAATCAGCTAAGCATCGTGTTTTCGCGTCACCCGGATCTTAACGTGCGCTACAATGACGATCGCTCACGCGACTATACGAATCCTAATCTCCCTCCGGGCCCTGGTCGTGGTGGAGACGCTCGCGCAGAAAACGAATCGCTGACTACTGCACCTGTGGACGGACGTGATGCTCCGCGGGATAATGGATACAATAATTCATTTCCTCGTCACGATGAGTACGCCTTTCGTGGGCCTGCTCATGCTCCTAACATTGGACGAGGCGATCAATACGCTCCGGACATGCGTGATGGCCGTGGTCCACCGTTTCGACACGATGATCGTCATCCGAGTGTCGACGGACCTCGCGATGACCGTGGTGGGCGCGAATTGCCTGCGCATTCGACGGGCCGAGCCGTTCGAGGTGACACGCGTCCATCACCTGCCTTGATTTGCAGCAATATCGATCCCGAGCTGGTGGTACGTGCCGGCATGTACATTGCTTGCATCGAATGCTACTAAGTAACGTTGTTGTACACGACAGAATCCGCATCACCTATTTACGCTGTTCGGCTGTTTTGGAGACGTCCTTCGTATCAAGGTCATGTTCCGCAAGCGAGATACGGCGTTGATCCAGTTCGTCGATGAAGTGCATGTAAGTGGCTGTTTTCATCGCAGACTAACTTTGTTGTTTATTGTAGTCCTCGTTTTGTTACTTACACGCTTATCATTTCGTTCTGGACTGACGACTATGCGCCATGCTGCTGACGTTGCGACTGGCTTACATCATGGTGACGTCTCGATTATCAGTCAACCTCGGCCTTAGACCACTTGGATGGTGTCTACGTGTTTGGCAAAAAGCTGCGTGTGGACTACTCGAAGCACGCGAGTGTTTCAATGCCTCACGCAGATGCGGACCGTTTCGAACTCGAGAACACGCTTGACTTCTCAGGGTCCCCACATCATCGCTACCGACGTCGAAGTCCTCAAGAGGCGGTCTCGCCCTGTCCGTTACTGCACATGTCAGGCATTCCGATGGAGCTGCAGAACAACCGTAACGCCGTTGTGGACCTTTTCGCGCAGTATGGCTTCGTCAAGAACTTCCACTACCTGCAGAATAACCCCAGAATGGCACTGGTTGAGATGGGCTCGGTGGACGAAGCCATCATGGCACTTCTTCATGTCGACAACATGACATACCCGGACTCGCACATGCGCATATCCTTTTCCAGAGCCTACCAGTTTTCTGCTGGAAACGGCGACAGCGGCCCTGCTTCTCGTCTCGGTCCTATGTCTGCCTCTGGTGCTGCTCCAGGTGGCTGGAACCCATCAATGCAGTCGCGTCCACGAAACCGAAGCCGCGATCGCAGTCGTAACCGTGAACGAGGTCCGCCTGTGGGGGGAAATCGAGACCGATCGCCACGAGACCGAGGTCCTCCACCACCGCAGCGAGGGCGTGAGTTTCAACAGCGTGACAACTCCCGCCGCCCTCCTCCGCGTTATTGACCGCACTTTCTGACAGCTCTCGAAAGTCTCTCTGCCCCCATTGACACTTGTGGGGCGTCTGTCTCTATCGTCTTCTCTCTCGACGAAATGCGACGCACCTGTTAACATCGAGGTGCTTGCCAAAATTTTGACGGGCCCACTGCTCTTGGCTGATCGTAGTTCTAGTAAACAAACATGAACCAAACGGTTTTGTCTTTCGCAGCAACGCGTTCGTCCCAGTCATTCATTGACACTTGACATTTAGCTGTATTCGCATTGCAACTGCTCGATCTTCACAGGTTTACTGCACCGCTCACATCCGCCACTACCGTCGGAATCGACGGTCCTCGATCGGGACTATCGCCAGACTCGTCAACACCGCCATTCTGTCGATGACTGTTCTCCGTGTCCGATTCCGTCTTCTCCCCTTCTGCTTCGACAATAGCCTTCACACGTGACACAGCCATGGGCATAGCTGTCGTTTCTACACCAATTAGAGCTTGCAGCTTGCGCTTTTTCTTTTTCTCTACACGCTGGATCATATCCTTGTCCATATGTAGCACGTTCCAGCATATTTTGTGGTGCTCTTCACCCGGATATTTACGCGGCCGAATGCACACAGACCGTTGGCAACAGGCACAATAGTGAGCGGTGTTGCAGCGGAGACCGCGAAAGTAGCACACGGAGCAGCGTCCATACCGCTTCCCGCGACCACAACTGCCATACATCACCGGGTACTCCTCTGCGTCCACTTCACACGGCGTTTGCTCGATCACTCCAGTGGACAAGTCAGTCTCACCGACATTTGTGTCCGGACGATCTGTTGGAAGAAGTCCTCGATGACGAATCCTTTGCCGGTTCTTATTAGCTGCCTGCAGCTCACGAAGCGGATGACCTTCGAAAGTCCAAAGGGCGTTCATCGGGTCTTTCACTCCACCCAGTTCCAAAGTATTGTCGTTGGCCTCGGGGACCGCATCCGTGGTTGGCATTGCTGTCACGGCATCAATGACGTCACAAGAAGGAGACAAAGTCTTCATGGGTGAGGCCACGATCGATGAATCTGGTACTACCATCTCGCTTACTATTGTAGCTGCTGGAGGTGGAAGTTCTGGCTGAGGAGGTGACAACGACACAGCAGGAACAGCTAGTGGCGCGGCTGCATCGACGTCGTCAGCCTGTTGCTGCTGCTGCTGCTGTCCTGGTTGAAAACAAGCAGCAAAGAACAGAGTGAGCAAAGAGATCGTGAGCTTCTCTATCGTCGTAGTACCGATAAGTCCGTGTCTTACCTTCGTTATACCGCGATTTGGCCAGCGCGAAGATCTTCTCCATGCGATCCGGTTCTAGTGTGTAAGCCTGTTGGATAGACAGACGCATACAGCATTCAAGACAGTATGAGAGACGATCCGAAGTGCTAGTAGCGGAAGATCGAGGTTACCGTACACTCTGCACGAGCTCAGCGAGGTCGTGATCGTCCATACTCTTGAGGAACTTGCCAAGCGAAGGGCCGGCCCCCATGCTGCCAGCAGTGGTGGGTTTTGTAGCGTCTCTAGGTTCGGTTATCGCAGAGCGAACCTAGAGAGCGTCGAACGTGGAAGCTGAACCGCTCGCTCTCAAGTTTGCAAGCTGCACGTCAGACCGCATAACCTCACAGAATCGATTCGATCGCCATAATTAATTGAGTTGAAGTCCCGAGCCGAGCATGGCAGGATATTTTGAGCGTAGCAGGATATTTTGAGCGTGGCAGGATGTTTTGGTAGCCGGCGGAACGTGAAGTCGGCCCGGTTCGTCCCCTGTTGCACCGCTCGTTGTCGATCGTGGATGACGTCAGTGGTCAGCATCTGCTCTTCCCATCGCTGCCCGGATATAACGACGCCGTGCACTTTTGCGCCCATCGGAGGAACCAGCCGACAGAATAAACCGGCGCTCTAATCCAAACGTTCTCAATCGACAAACAGGTTCACAGAGAGAGAGAGAGACAGAGAGAGATAAATAGATAAATCGAGAGAGCGCGAAAGGAGACAACGCGATACACCGGTGCTCGCTGCATCGGCGGTCTCTTGACGTCTCGATCCCCGTCTAATTGACCCTCTCTCTCTGTCGTTGTCCACTTGATCGCAATTGTATCCAGCACACGCGAACTATCCAGTCACTCAATACTCATCGCAAGTGAGTGATGAAGCCGAGCACCGTTCGCGTCGTCGGTGCAGATGCCGTGGGCAAGACGAGCTTCGTGCTGGCTTTAGGGGCCATGGAACAGACGCCACAGCGCTACATTTGGCCACGGAATGGACGGCGTGAGAAGACGATGGTGCACATTGTGCGCAGTCGAGAGGAGGTCGCGTTCAACTGGGACGATACTGGCCACGACGAGACGGAGGATGTCGAAGAAGTCGTTGTGCTGCTCTTTGACCTCACACGGCGGGACTCGCTCGCCGCTGTTGTAGCGCAGTGGAATCACTTGTTGGATATCGTTGGACGGAAGTCGCTGCTACTGGTGGGAACGCACGCGGACTGTACGAGCACGCGAAGCGTGACGCCAGCAGAAGTGCGTGAGATCTCGGGGGATTTCCACGCCTACGAGGAGGTGTGCTGTCGTCCGGGGCAGTCTGGAGACAAGGGCATGCTCCGTGTCCAGCTCACGTTGACTCAATGGATCAGTGGTGGACCTGCGAAGATGGCGAGCGGTCTCCCGTTTGCTCGAGCTTCAATTTGCGGCGGCTTTCCCCGACCTGTCGTGACCATGATGATGCCTGCTGGTGCCGCCCGCAGTTTGCCTCGATCGCCGACAAGTCTGCAGCATTCGAGAAGGCATGTAGCAGATGTGCAGCTGTCGACTGAAGACGAGTCGTCCCGCCTTGAAGCGGTGGTAGGTCCAGGAGATGGCGACGTCAAGCTACGCACGATCTCGAAAGCGATCTATGACATCCGCAGTGCAGTTGCTGAGAAGAGCAAAGTGCTGGCGAAGTATCGCGACCGACAAGTGACTCATTGGCTCACACGCAGCCGGTACTTTGGCCCGACAGAGAGCAGTCGCCACAAGCGGTGGCATGAAGAGCAGAAGAAACGGCAGCTCCTGACTCAATGTCACGTACACTACCACGACGGCGGTCACATGTTGCGTCAGTCGAATAACCTCGATGCTTGTGCGCAGGACGCACGTGGACGGAGTGTTAGCTACCCCAACAAATGCGAGGTACCGGGTCAAAAATCTTCGACACAGCGCGACCCAGCGCACTTTTCGAGCCCAAGCTCGAGTGAGGGCGAAGAGAGCCCAGCAATATGCTCGGAGCCAAAGGGGTTTGCGCAGCTTACCGAGCTTACGAAACAACGGCAGCTCGAAGCAGAGGCTGCACAAGAGCAGAAGAAACGGCTCGCTGCTAAACGTGCATTGCGGAAGCAAAGGCGTGCAACCTCTGACGACATTTACGAGCAAAGCACCGCCCCTCCTGCGATCTTTGACTCGTATTTGAACTGCTACGACGAGATGGACGTGCCCTCCCAGCCGCAGTCTTCTTTGCTCTCGCTGGACCAACGGAAGTCAATGACAAGACCGTCACTAGCGTCAACGACGAGCAGGAAAAGCTTTACCAGCCGAGACCGCACGTCTCTCGAGATGGGCAGCACGACGTTAGCCGGAACGCAGCACTCGATCGAGCGATTGTCCCTTGAAGCTGAACCAGTGAACTCTATGCCAACGCCCGCGCAGTTCCTGCCTCCCCTCCCTTATATTATGGATCCACCAGCTCCGTCATTGGTGCAAAGCCACCATAGTGCTCCTAGTAGCCTCGAGCATCGCATTGTGCATGATCCAGTGCCGACTTCGACTACATCGGACAAGGCGCATGCAGCATTCGTGATGTCTCCATCAAGTCCAGCTCCTGCACCTGCCGACACCGTTTCTTCCATGTCTACTGAACAACGTGCTATCAAATGCAGCAACAGCTTGCAAACTGTTGACTGCAGCAACATCGCCAAGATCTCCGAGCACTTTGAAGACCTGACGCTGCCTAAATCTAATTCCCACAACTGATCAAATTACCAAATGCGACTCGACTTACGCAACTAAGAAATGTTGCATCCTATCGAATAGCATACCGTACCACCATCCTCTAGTCATGCTCGATCAAAGTATCTCACCAAATAGCAGTAGGACATCATCAAACAAACCTCTGGACCATAATCCAATTCGACCAGCAATGCGTCGCCACCTCCGCGGTCGTTCCTTTGCTGCCCGTGCCCGTCACTACACTAGCGCTATTGCTTCATTAAGCCCAACGGTCGACAACCAACGTGGTGTCTACGCTCTCGAGACGATCTACGCGCTTTCCTCTGCACCTGGTAAAGCTGGCGTGGCCGTCGTCCGGATCTCTGGCGACCAGGCAGACGCTTGTCTGCAGCAGCTAAGCAGGTCCACAGCGCTGCCAGAGCCTCGAGTGTGCGTGACCTTTTTTTTGTACAATTTTGGCGACGTTTGCGGGTCCTGACAGCAGTGTCGTTGAGTGGGATGTTGTTTCGAGACAGTGCCTCCTTGCGGAAGCTCTTCCATCCAAAGACGAAGGAACATCTTGACGATGCTTTAGTGCTCCGGTTTCCGCACCCACATAGGTGAATAAGAATGGTTTTTGTGTGGGGGGATACGTGGTATTGAGTGTCGGATGCTGGTGGATGAACAGTTTTACAGGAGAAGATGTCGTGGAGCTGCATACCCATGGAAGTGTTGCAGTGATCTCTGGTGTTTTGGAAGCACTGAGTCATGTGCCTGTGAGTGAGTGGTGATTGATTGTTGCAAAATGAGAGGACCTGCAGTTTGATGACTAATTGTACTTGTGCCGTGGGACTAGCGTTGCCGCGCTGCGGAAGCAGGAGAGTTTACGGAACGAGCGTTTGACAATAATAAAATTGATTTGGTGCAAGTCGAGGGGCTGGCGGACTTACTGAGCGCTGAGACGGAAGCCCAGCGTGGACAGGCACTTCGGCAGCTGTCTGGGGATATCGGAGAGATCTATGAAGGCTGGCGTGACAGTCTTGTCAAGTGCCTGGCGTACGTGGAGGCCATGATCGATTTTGGTGATGACGAGGACGATGTCACAGATGCTGCTTACGGGGCTGCAGTTGATCGGTCAGCGTGTGACAAAGCCGTTTGAATGTTGTGTGGACCGTTGTGCTAATCCATTGTTCCTCCGTTGTCGGTACAGCGTTCGTGTGCTTGCGGATTCGATCCGAGGTCATCTGGCTGACGGCAGGAGAGGAGAGATCTTACGTAGTGGGGTCCAAGTCGCTATTCTTGGTCCACCAAATGCGGGCAAGAGCAGCTTGTTGAATGTGCTCGCGCGCCGACCTGCAGCAATCGTGTCATCCATCGCTGGGACGACACGAGATGTGGTGCAAGTGCCTTTGAACATCGTGGGATATCCTGTAATAGTCAGTGACACTGCAGGGCTGCGCGAAACAGAGGATCTCGTCGAAAAAGAAGGCGTTTTGAGGGCCCAGGTGTGTGCCGACGAAGCAGACATACGCGTGGTTGTGCTGGATGTGCAGGTACGTACGAAATCGTTACGATTTCGTTCGATTAGCCAACCATGGTGTCTTGTGCAGCATGCCGACCAACTCCAGAGTAGCGTATACCAGTCCTATTTGAAGGGAGACGCGATCGTCGTGCTGAACAAAGGCGACCAAGTGGACGACGAGAAAATCGAATACGTGCAGAGTGGATTTGACGCCAAAACGCGCAGCCAGCTTGTCGTCATTTCTTGTATAGAGGGTGATAACATCGATGTCTTTGTTGACATGCTTGCGGCCTCAGTGAAGGAGAAGTACGTGTACGCAGGATGTTTGCAAGAAAGGCTGTGATTGTGATTGTTTGCGATTGTGTGTATCTTCGGTAACAGGTTGAAGGTCTCAGCTGAAGCGAGATCTTTTGGCGGTGCGCTGATCACACGGGAGCGTCATCGCCAGAACCTGATGGAGTGTCTAGCGTGTTTAGACCGGTTCTTGGCTGATCCTTACCAAAGCGAAATTGCCGCTGAAGATCTTCGCCGAGCGGTCACGGCGATTGGCCGCATCCTTGGTCGCATCGACGTCGAAGACGTTCTGAATGTGCTCTTCAGCGATTTCTGTATCGGGAAATGAATGGCCATCTTGTTTCGAGAAGGTGCCAAGTCGGAGTTCCTGGACTGCTCTAGGTATGCTTGCAGGGCAGGGTACACAGCTCGGGGAACCAGGAATGCCAACGATGCATTGGGCGAAGCCGTGGTGACTGTTCCTTCGTGTCCACTTTTCGACCATCACAACCCAAAACGTGGCACCAATTGCCTCGACTGAGTTGTGCTCGCGACGGTCAACCGCAAGTAATCAGGAAGGTGAGGGGAGTCTGGATACGTTCCATCACCGGCTCGATTCACTTGCTGGTCATTACACAGTATTTGAATGAAGATCCTGCTCTCAAAGGGCTGCGTGCCGAAAGAGAAGATTGGATGTGCGTATGTTGACCGATCGTTGCCGGTCTGGCTGCTGTCAGTCCAAGAAGGTTGCGTTTTCTTCCACGCATGAAAACTTGGTCTACACATGGAGCTCTTGGTCGGCTGGACGGCTTACAGCTGGAAGGAGATGCATAGGTTGAGAGCGCTGAGCTCCCACTTTGTACGTATTGCTCGTTGTCCGGATACAATGTACCTTGTCAACAACTTCAACATACTGCACGCTTTTTCCCAGCTGTGAGCAGCAGCCTAATACCGGTACAGGAAGTAGCAGCAAGGCTGGCTCTTTTTCCAGCAATAAATGGAATCAGATCTGCGTCTACCAGATAGTCCAAGTGTTTAGTTATTCAGCGGTCGAAATAGTCGTGACCTGTAGTCAGGACTATTTTTCAAACGACGCCAAGAGGCATTTACAACTTTGTGACCGAATGGGTGACGTCGCTCCCAAGACACTCTACTGTATCCGCCATGGAGAATCAACGTACAACGAATGGCGCAAGACCAGTCTCTGGAACTTCTCGTGGATGTGGGTGCGGGATCCTATGATTATTGACGCACCGCTTAGCGCCAAGGGGAAGAAACAGGTCTCGCACTTTGATTTCTAGGGTACGATGTGTGACCAAAAGGACTGACAGTGATGGGGATATGTGTAATGAATACAGGCGCTTGAACTCCACGAATGGATCGCTGCCAAGCAGTTGGAAGAGAAGATCCAATTGGTACACGATCAATACCGCCGCAATTGTCACTTGGTTGTCCATCAGTCAGTAACAGTGTTCACATTATTGTGCTGCATGTTCCATGTAGATCATCACGAGTCCATTGACGCGAGCAATTGAGACGACCATTGGCGCGTTTCCCGACACGAAGATTCCCATCATTGGTAAAAAGGAATGATGTGCTTGTACTTTTGAGATAGATACTCTTTGCTTGATCGAGATGCTGACGCACTCGAATGTTTGCAGTCGAGCCTTCGTGTCGGGAGATGTTGGACACAGCCTGTGACATTGGTCGTGTGCCCACAGACTTGGCACAGCAGTTCCTTCTTCGAGGAGACATCGACTTTTCCTTGCTGGATCCGTTCTGGTGGCTAGAGATGGGCAAGTTCCCGCGGACCGGAGAGGGTGAAGCACTTCCAGCCAACATTGTCGCACCCAAGACGGCGGATGAGGTGAGGCTGCTGCGCGAAACTGACGAGGAGCTGGATGCACGGATTCGAGAGTTTGTTGCGAAGCTGTTGGAGAGACCAGAGCAGCACATTGCGATTGTCGGCCACTCGTCGTATTTCAAGCGCATGCTGGCGATGAATCGCAAACTGAACAATTGTGAGCTGCACGAAACTTCATTTGGTGACATTCAGCTTCGCTACGCACAGAAGTAGCGCGGCAGCTTGTAGCTAAATGGTACGCATACTTCCACTATGCTTGACTGCTATTTGTTGTGATGAAGACAAGAGCTTCGCCTCTTTCTGCTGGTTCTGGCAAATCTCGCACTTTTAAAGAGCTCCACCACGTGTGCAAGTCCAAGACGGGTGGTTGGCGATGCTGCTTGTTATCACCACAGCATTGTGAGCAGCAATTGTAGGTCAAACGGAGTCAATTCTGTCGAATTGAGCCAGCAGTTATGCCACATAAGCCCCGACTTCCATCCCGAGCTTGTGATAGCACTTGTACTAGTAGTCGTCATATTGCTACAAATGCTGATGCTCGTTACAGGATAGCGCAATTCGAAAACACTTTAAGCGAATCGTACATCATACCGCAAGTTACTAAAAGCACTATTTTGCTCTCATTTGATCCCAATCAGCTAGCTTTTCATTCTACCATGTCAGTGACTCGTCTCATGTCTCTTTCTCTGTGCGAAGGCTCCTCATGTCTCTCTGTGCTGTGTGGTCACTAGGTCTGCCCGTCAAGCCAAGCGTCTAGCCAAGGAGCGTGATGCCGATGTGCTCGTGACACGCGATGACGAGGAAGAGAGCTCGGAGGACGACGAGCTGCTGGAGAACAAGCGGACGGTTGCTGGAGGTTTTGCTTTTCTAGCAGACTCAGATTCAGAATCAGAAAAAAGTGACAACATCGAGGAAGACGATCGAGACGATGATCAGCAAGAGGAAGGAGTTGGAGACGTTGAAGAGAAGACGGAGATGTCGATGGTGATGGTGGATCTGGCGCCTTGTAAGGGGAAGAAGAAGAAGAACAAGTGAGAGAACGAGACCGTCTACAGCTTGCGTTACCATCGTATTCGTGCTTACTCTTTGCACACTTGATAATGATTCTGCAGGAACAATAATAAGAAGAAGGACAAGCGACAAAAAGGTCGGGTGGAGAGAGAGGAAGACGAGGAGAAGCAGTCGGTGGACGACATGCTGGACGCGTTGGCGGCAGATAAGTGCAGCGTTGACGACACCGCATCCAGATACCATGACGACGTGCAGTCGCTGTTTAGCGTGCAGCTTCGATTTGCGAATGCGGATAAGGAGATGAAACGTATTTTTGGGGTGGGTCGTAGTTGCAGCTTGGCTGGTGATACGATCGCTTTCCGTGCACTATGCTGACACAATCGTGTGTACAGGTTAAACAAGGGAGTCACGGTAATACCCGAAGACGTGGCGATCCACGGTACGATATAAGGGTTCGACGTCGTTGTTCTACGTTCGTGTAGGCGTTATTATGCTACATTTGTCGAATACAGCTCACAACGTGTTCTGGTTGCGATATGTTCAGGGGGGGAGCAAGAGTGACGACGAAGAAGGTCATGTTGGTATCGCCCACGGATGACTGGCCACGTCCACCCACGTTTGTTGCTGGTGGTATTCGCTGGACGCGATCGAACAAGCCCAAGGGTGCTGGCTGGAACAGCTTGTGCAATTACTTTGAGCTCACGTGGTCGATGGCTTACAAGAAGGTAACAGCTATGTTTGGCAAGACTATCAAAGCAGTGGCGTTCCCAATGTGGCACTGACTAACGTACGACGCGCTGTCTGTTTTGGTGATAGTTGCAAGAAGAGTTTGAGGTTCTCCAGCAGACGCATGACCCGAACCTCATTGCTCAGTTTTTGCAGCGCAACCCGTACCATGTTGACGCGTTGCTCACGATGAGCGAGGTGTACCAGCACCACGGTCAAATGGACCACGCAACTGATTGCATCAAGCGATGTGTGTATATGCTGGAGCTAGCATGGACGGACCAGTTCGATGTATCGAGGGGAAACTGTCGCATGGATATCCAAACAGAGCACAACACGGGCTTCTTTAAGGCGTTGTTCCTGCTAATGAAGCAAGTTGGACGACGAGGATGCATGCGAAGTGCCTTCGAGACGTCCAAATTACTCCTCAGCATGGATCCTCAAGGAGACCCTATGAACGTACTTTTGGCGATCGACTACTACGCGCTAACGTCTCGTCAATGTCAGTTCCTTATCGACTTGGTTGAGTCCAAGACACCGGCTGTAGATAGATTCGCGAGCAGTGACAAGGGATATGAGAAGAGCAGCAAGAGTGCTTCTCCAGGCACGTCAGACACTATCGCAGCATTGCCAAACATGCAATTTTCGATTGCACTCGCCTAGTAAGTATTGCTGAGCGGTGAAGATACTTTTCCAGTCAAGCACTTACACTGCGTTGTTTGTGGCATGCGCTGCAGTTTCTTTTTAGGCAACGAGACGGAAGCTCAAGACCGGCTGGCTGCTGCGTTGCTCAAGTTTCCGACTATCTTGAAGCCACTACTGGAAAAGATCGCTGCCAATCCGTTCTCATGTATGCTATTCTTGTTCCACTATCTTGTGCTCGTTTGCTCGACAGTGCGCTCACACTCGTTGCGTGTACTAGCTTCGTGGCAACCAATATTATCGAGTCGCGTATTTGCCAATGCTCGGAGTATCGACGGGAAGCCTAGTATCGATGGGAAGCCGAGCGTGCTCCAGCATTTGTTAGACATTTATGTCACAAGAAACTTCTCTGTATGGAAAGTGATCGACGTGCAGGCGTTCCTGCGTCGCAGCGCGCAGCACGCTCTTGACAGCCCATCCTTGGTATCTGCGAATACGCAGGTGCTGGAGCTGCCTCCGTGCTTGGACAAGTACCTTCGTGCTGTCAGCGCAGGTAAGGAGCAACGGAACTCAGGTGGTAAACGCTGAGCTGATACTTTGACTGTTTTCGTGAACCCTTAACCAGACTACTCGGACGAGGTCACCACGTTGCCAGCTGACCACCCGATGCTGCAGCCACCGCAGCTTCAAGATGGTCAGCCACTAAATGCAGAGGCTCTCGCTGCGCTTGTGCAAGCACAAGAGGAGATAGAAGCGGGCAACTTGCCGGCCGACGCCAACCCACTGCTGCTGTTCTTGCAGACGATGCTGCCATGGAACCACGTGCAAGGTGCTGGTCAGCAACAATAAAAGCTTGTGCAGCAGTGAATTGGAAGTATCCGATATCGTGGCAATGATGGTGTATGTTGCGCAAATAGTGGCATCGCCTCGGCACGACTCAAGTTGTGGATTCGACGTCAAGGTGCTGTTGCTGCATTGGATGACCAGAGATTTCGCACTACCAAGTCGCAGTCGAGCATCGATACGGACGACACGCACTTGACGTAATTAGTACCGGTGTTTTTAGAACCCATTGCACACCTCGCTATTCAATCGTGCTACAGACACGCTAGGTATCAAGTATTTTTCTAAATTTGCGCACAATCTGAAACGTCTGCCAGAACTGCAGTCGGTAGCGATAGCATCTATTTTTTTTGCTGGATTCTGTGACTGGATTTTACCGTCTGCCGTTTTGTACCCTTCGCCTATTTTTGCTCAGGACCTATTTTCAAAGGTCTAAACCTCCTCACTCGAATTTTAGACATCATGGGCAATAGCGGAAGTACTAACGCCGCGGCGAACGTCCGCCCTCACGGCAAGCGCAACAACGCGTCGCACCGCCGTGCCCAACAGCAAAAGGCCCAGCAAGCTGCAGCACAAGTGTCTGCTGCTAGCTCCGAAACGTCGTCGTCTACCAACGTGCGCCGCAATCCGCAGACACGCAAAGCCCCGAAGGATTTGGTACGTTGAAAAGCTATTTAATTTTTAGAAAAACCTAAAATAATGGACTATTTTTGGCGAGACTAAAAAAACTGATGGTGCTTCTTTTTTTGTGGACACTCAAAATTTGTCACGCGTGTCGTAGATTACAGGCGAATTGTGCGATGTGAACGATCTGTACAACATTGAGAAGAAGGAGCTGGGCCACGGCCACTACGGCACTGTCCGCGTGGGCGTGAGCAAAGCCACCGGCAAGAAGGTAGCCATTAAGACCATCCCCAAGGCCAAAGTGAGTCGGCCAGAGACCATGCGACGTGAGATCAATATCCTGAAAACGCTGAACCATCCCAACATTATCAAGCTCTACGACGTGTGTGAGGGCCATCGCCACTTGCATCTGGTCACGGAACTCTGCACGGGCGGAGAGCTCTTTGACCGCATCATTGCACGTGGTCACTATAGCGAGGCCGACGCGGCTGTGCTGGTGCTCAAGATCTGTGACGCCGTCAAGCACTGCCACGACCGCGACATTTGTCATCGAGACCTGAAGCCCGAGAATTTCCTGTTTGCTACCAAGGCAGAGGACGCAGAACTCAAGGTCATTGACTTTGGACTGTCACGCATGGACGACGGCTTGAGTGCGGGTGTCATGACCACACGCGTCGGGACGCCGTACTACATTGCACCGGAAGTCCTGGGACGCCACTATGACAAGTCGTGCGATCTATGGAGTATCGGTGTCATTACGTACATCTTGCTGTGCGGCTACCCGCCGTTTTACGGTGACACGGATCCGGAGATCTTTGCCTCAGTTCGTGCTGGCCGCTACGACTTTGACTCACCCGAGTGGACGAATGTGAGTGGAGATGCAAAGGACCTCATCAGCCGCCTTCTGCTGGTGGACGCATCCAAGCGACTGACGGCAGAAGAGGTGCTGCGCCACCCGTGGATCTCTGGCTCAGCTCCGAGATCGAGCATGACGCTGAACCCTAACATCTTCTCCAGCTTGAAGCGCTTTACAGGCAACAACAAGCTCAAGAAGGCTGCTCTTGGTGTTATCGCAGACCTGGCCACCGAGGGAGAGATTGCTGAGCTGAAGAACCAGTTCATGGCGATCGATACTGATGGCAACGGGGTGATCACGGTGTCTGAGCTAGCAGAGGCACTGCATGACACTGGTCTCGGTATGATCGAAGAAGAGGTGCTGGAACTCGTGAAAGGTATTGATATTGACGGCGATGGGCTTGTCGACTACCCGGAGTTCCTTGCAGCTACGATGAAGCGAAACTTGTCCAACCAGAAGGAGCACCTTATGAACGCATTTAATTATTTCGACACTACAAACACGGGACAGATTACCAAGGCTGATCTCGTGCAGTTCATGGGCAGTGAAGAACAGGCGCAGGAAGTCATAGACGATGTGGACTCGAACGGTGACGGCGTCATCAGCTTTGAAGAGTTTGTGGCAATGATGGACCGCAAGGGATATGGCGATGATAGCATTGACGATAACGGTGGCTTCCTTTCAGCGACACAATACGTTGGCGGCAACGTTCAGCCCCCCATCAAGGAGACTGAGCTGTAGGTGAGCAGATGCACAGACAGGTTCAATGACAAATTACAGCAGCAGCGTTCATGGAAGGAAGAAACAGGTTGGTTAGCAGGAGCAGAGCGGTCGCTCTTTTGGCGTCGCTTAGTGTCGATAGATTGTTTCCAGGCTTGACACGCGCAATTGCAGCTTACTTACTTGCCAGCCTTGTTGCGTCGGTTGATTCGATCGTGTCGCTTTTCGGCAGCTAACTTTTGCGTGCGATTGAGTGCTTCGCGCTCAGCACGTCGGGCTTCCTGAGCCGAGGTCATCGCAGAGGAGCCAGTAGCGAAGCGCTGGATGCTGAGTCCCTCTTCGCGCGCCTCTGTGCGCTCGTCCATATATTGTGCAAGCTTGTGTTGGTAGTGACGACGCGAGCTCGTTGAGAAGTTTCCAAAGACCAGACGGCCAGGACCTCTGCGCTCGATACCAGATTTCTTCTCTTTGTTGTCTTCGGCTTCCGGCATCGGCTTGCGCCGAGCTAACTTCTTCACCGATGGATGAGAGAGGTCAGGAGCATTCAATAGAAGCTGGTACAGATTCGATCCCGAATGCTGTTCAGCACCTGCGCTGGGCTCGAACATCGTGACTTTCACAGCAGAATTCGGGCGAGCAGTAGCATTGCTGCTCTTGGTTTGAACAACGCGCTGGAGCTCTGATAGCGACGTCGCAGCATGGCTTTTGTTCATAGCACTTCCCCGTTCAACAAGGAGAAGCTGGAGATGTGGTACTCGAGCTGTAGAAGCCGTGGGATCGCATGACACCTGGACTTCCACCTCATCCAGAATGCGAAACACTGTGCCTTTACCACCAACCACCACTTCGAGGCTCATGTGCTCACTGCTACTGTCCAATCTGAGCTGCGCGTATGGGATTGTTCGAATGCACTCAAGTCCAGCGAATGCTTCTGTGGCTGGTTTGGTGTCCTCGATATGTACACCGAGCAACTCGGGGTTCATTTGCACATCTTCCCATTTATCACACAAATACACCGGAGCACGTAGATCATATCTCGGGACGTAGACAATCAGCCCGTTCTCTTTGAAAGCCGTGATAATCGCTGGTACCTTCACTGTGTGGCTGCTGAAGTACAAAGCCAGGAATAGCGCATCACAAGCACGTGCGGCAAGCTTCGCTTGTCGGTTTTTCTTGTTGAGGTGGTGAACAAGTGGCACCAGCTCTTTCGGCGGAAATAGATCACCTTCACCCATGATCGCGTTGTCACGTGCACATGCTTGAGCTGACGGAAGAGCTTTTACTTGAAGTTGATGGTCAACTGACGGAAGAGCTTTTACTTGAAGTTGATGGTCAACCGACGAAATGAGATCATCGAGGAAGTCTTCGTCTTCAGCACTTTCTAGTACCGATGGGACAAGAGATTTTGGCAGCACCAATGGAGCTGATGCTTTGTCCACGGAAGGCTGAAACATCGTGCTCGGAGAAGCGTTGGACGCTGCAATCGACGCTAACAGCTGGCGGTGCACGATGACATCGGCATAACGGCGGATCGGCGACGTAAAATGCGTGTAGTGTTGCAATCCGAGACCATAATGGGCAAACGGTGTCACGTCACCGTTCGCTGTTGCCGTGTCTCCGGCTACTACCGCCCCGGAGCTCACGTATTCAGCCTCAGTCATTACACGCACCGCAAGGGATTTTAAAAGTGATATTGCCTTTGAGTCCATGCGATCCGAGCGTTCGGCTACCGCGAGTGACTGCTGCAGCGTGAAATTGTTTGTAGCGTCAATGACGACGCCACGTGCATTAGCAAGTTGAACGAGTTGCGTAAACCGGTCTCCTGACGGTGGCGGATGTCTGCGTAATAGCGCGTGAGTTGGGAAGTGCTCTACAAGCCTGCGAGCTACAGTCGCGTTCGCGAATATCATCAACTCGGCGATCGTGCCGTGTATCTCTAGGTTCTCCTTCACCGTGATTTCCACGTCTTTTGTGCCTAACTCTGACACGTCTAAAGAGAACTGTACTTCCTCCTGCTTCGACAAATCCAATCTACCTTGCGATCCACGCACGCGGCCTAGCCGACGGCCAATATCAGTAATAATGCGAAGGTCTTCTCGAATTTGTTGTTGGAGCTCGAGTGGTATGCGACCTCCTGCAACACCTTCGACGTGCTCGGCCGATGCCGAATCATCAACATCGGCATCTGTACCCTGAAGCAAGTGATGGGCCTGCTGGTACGTCATTGACGAGCAACTGCGAATGATAGTGCGCCCAAACCACGCTGAATTCTCCACGACATCGTGAGTCTCACCATCTAGCTCGCATATGACACTCACCGCCAAACGGTCTCGGTTCTCATGAAGCGAGCACAAGTCCGCACTCAGCACAGATGGAAGCATGTCAAGCCGCTGGCCTACCAAATACACGGTTGTACCACGACGCCTGCCTTCGGAGTCCAACGCTGAACCGTGTTCAACAAAGTAAGAAACGTCTGCAATGTGTACAGCAAGCTCCACATTCCCATTTGGCAAGCGTCGAACCGACATGGCGTCATCTATGTCCTGACAACCAGGCGGGTCTACGCTGAAAACGCGGTGCGTTTCGCGCAGATCCCGACGTCGCGGAACCTCTTCGTCGGGAACTTTCCAGTTGAGCAGCTTGCACCGGGCTGGTCGTTTCGCTGTCGAGCACTCAGCCACGCAATCACCTTCGATATCAATCGGGCACTCATCACCCGACGGGAGACAAGCTAATGCCGCTTCACTAAACGGTGCCTCCTCGACCTCGTTGTCTATGAGTATTGCGCTGAGTTCCGGTTGCAAACTTCCAGAAGCACCAAGAATTTCAACGTAGTGTCCACTCGGATGCGAACTGTCAGCAGCCCAGCTATCAATCACGACCTTGAGACGCTTGTCGAGCAGCGCATCTAATCGCTGAGAGCGCACACGGATCTTAGGTAATCGGTGATCCATCGGTACAGCTAGCGCATGGTCATTTCCTGCACTTACAGTTGAAGAAATAATAGTAGCTACATGATACTTTGTTGCGCGACTCAGAATGCCCACAACTTGGCCTGTTGGGATCAGCCCAGACTTATGCCGACCCTGCTCAAAATCGATACTCTCCAGTTCGCCTTCGTTTTCCTTCTCGTCGTCCTTTTCGTCTTGCGCGTAGTGTACTAAGAACCGGTCGCTCTTTGGTGCGCACCAATGTACCCTAGGAAGTATTCCCACCGCTACGCGATCTCCGTGGATGCCACGGTTCATTGCAGCGCGTCCAGGTAGAAAAACCTTCTCAACCGCGTGTGGTCCATCGACAATTACGTATGCTTCCAATGGGTTATAAGCGCTCACTTCGAGTTTTCCAGCTACGAATCTCGAAGAAGCGCACGTTAGCAGCTCATCTAGCAGAGCGGGTCGTACATGCGGTGAATACTCAGTTTTTGACGAGTCTCGATTGCCGTTCTCATTCAGTTCGCGTTGAGTTTCTTCAAAATCCAGCGTTTCGGCCGTTGTCCACGACAGCTCTACCAAGGACAGCATTTCCATCGAGCCTTCCACCAGTCTCTCTTTCAAGAAACCTGCACAGTTGATAGCACGGGCGTTCGTCAAAGCCGCCAATTGTACACAAGTAGGAGCATTGACATCTTTCGTCATGACCACCACTTGTGCACCTGGCGGAAGGTGATTCTTCGTCACGAACCACTCGACTGTTTTAAGCAACGCCCGATCTTCTCCCGCCAACTGCTTCGTGCCTTTATTCATAGCTGAAGCTTCTACAAAAGTCTCGACATGGTATTGATCTGGGAAGACATAGAACCGTCCAGTCCACCGTCCAGTGTTGTCCAAGCCTTTCAGACCATCACCTCGAAAAACTCTTTTCAGTCTGGCAGTATCGCCACTTGACCCCATCCTCATAGCAGCTTGCAGGACACTTTCAATCACCCACAAACGTGGGGCAACTTGACCAAAAGTTGTGCCTTCTTGCTCCATCAGATCCAGACACTGCATGAGACTAAATGCATCAGGCACCACGTATTCTCCTCCTTCCACTCTCGGTAGCACGTGAATAGGAAGCAGTGCACGCTTAGAGCGACACGTAGTACAGGAAGCCACGCCACAGTGCACGTCACAGCGTAAATAGCGCTCTTGAGCCTTCAAAGCGCCGCCGGCTTTACGTCGACGACTGCGCTCGACGAAGCTCCGGTCCGTACACACGTCTACCCAGCCAGGAGCTCCTTTTGCTTGACGTACACCTACACGCAGCCGTTGCGTCTCTTCTTCCTCCTGTTGCTGCTGCTGTAGAAGCGCGCGCTGGCGTCGAGCAGCTTCCTGCTCATCGAGCTGCCATGCCATTTTGTAGCTTTTGACTTTTAGCCAATCAGAGAGAGAGAGTGAGCGAGGAGGTGAAAGATCGAGAAATGGCTACAGGCGTGTCACGGTTGAAAATAGATGCGACGTGTGACACGACACAGGTCAGTTAGTTGCACTGACTTTAGTTTGTAGTGAATATCCAAGAAATACTATTGGGAGCCGACATCAAGTGGCAACATGTAATCATCTATTCGGGCTTCTGCGGTATGGCATCTTCACTGTGTTTGTTGCTGCTGCTGCTGCTGCTGCTGCTGTCGCACCTCCATGACAGCCGACGGGTTCGGGTGGTACTTGGACGGGTCAATAGCCTGCCCACCACCCATTGTCTCCTTGTCACTACGAATCACTTCAGCAGGCTTGTCCTCGTCTTCAGTAATGCTGCCCAGTCCAGTGTCTGCCGAGTAGTTTTCTACCTTCATATCAGTGATTCCCAGCACGTCGTCCTCGTACTCTGACCGCGTAAACTTCTCGGCTGTCATGTACGGATCATCGTGAGCACTGCCATACGGCGAGTAAATGAAGCTGTTGGCCAGCGGGTCTTCCAGGATAAGCGTGAACGGCTTCGACCCATGCTTCAAAGCATCAAGACGAGCTAGCCAAGCGTTCAGCAGTGAGCGACCGCCGTCACTGTCACCAATAGCAAACGGGTTCCCTTCTTCAATGTTTTGACGAATCTTGCTGAGCAATCCCTCTAGAGTCGTGTACAGTCCACCGAGCGAACCATGTGCCATCTCGAGCTCAATCTCGGGAATGTTGACACACGCCGAGTCGGACTTTAGAATGTCGCGGTCCAATGCGTCCGGGTCCTTGCTGACATCCACCTTGAGCGTCATGCGCTCGCCCTGAGGTGGAATGGCGCCACCAGCCTTCACCTCGTTCGTCTTGAAACCACATGCTTCACAGTTGAAGGACATGATGATCACCTCCTTGAAGTGAGGAATGTCCGTCATGCACATGCACGAGAACCCGGGTGCTTGGCAAGCGAAGCAGTTGGCTGGGATCTGGATCACCTCCTTCTTCGCGATATTCGCTTCCTCGACAAACTTGTCCAGGCCTTCATTTCGGTGCGGCAGGACACGCGGAGTCTGTGTCGGTGCATCGTGAGACATATCAGGCTGCAGTCCACAGTCCAGGTCCTGCTGCTCTGAACGGTAGTAGTGCGAAACCTTCATCTTGGGGTCAGCCGCAGGCGCGTGCGGGTTCTCAATGTGGGAGTTACCAGACGGATCGTCCAGCACGACCTTGAACGGGAGCGTACTTCCTGTCGCCATCATAGCAAGCTTCACAATAAAGTCATCGATCTTCTCGGTCGTCTCTGGGTCAGTCTCTCGACGATGTTCCTGGTTCTTACGTAGTCCGCCAATAGCATTCTGAAGAAAGCCTTCAACCGTATTGATACTGCCTCGCTGCGTCTCACGAGGGATCTCAAAGTCCAGTGACGGAAAGTAGATCGAGCCCGCGTCGGCCTTGATCAACTGACGGTTCAGGTCCTGCATCCATCCAAGACAAGAACATAATGCATCCATACTCAGCATTCCGGTCCATAGATACTGGATGCCAGGTAGCGTGCAATGAGCTCTGTACCCCACCCACCTCCTGTTCCGTGAGCTCCAGCTCGATCTTGGCGCCCTGCTCCTGCACCTTGCCGCCAAACTGCACCTCACTGTTCTTCATACCGCAATGGTCACACTCGAACGACATCAGGATTACTTCACGAAAGTACGGGATCATCGTCAGCAGCAGCTTCGTCGTGCCGTCTTCGTGGCAGTTCATACAGAGACTCTCCATAGTCGTCACCTCCGGCACATCGTCTTCGGCTTGCAGCGTGAAAATCGACGGTCGAGTTTCTCTCCCGTCCACGTTGTTCAAGTGGAAGCGCTCGTCGACGTTGGGACGCGTGCCGCCCAGTACTTGTGGTGCCTTCTCCGACATGGACTTGACCTGGTGGACTGTCGATAATGGCTGGCCTTCGACGATGGCGGTTGGGTACTGAGTTAACAAATGAGGACTATTTTTGAGCAACTCGTGGACGAACACAAACGCGATTTGAGCTCAAAGCAGATCACGCGGTTGGCTTTTGTGACATCCGTAAACGAGTCGTCGGAACGCGCTTCAACGTGGAACCGTGAGCTACAACGGGCCCTGTATTCTGCATTTGTGGTTGGGATGCGTCTATCTGTTACTAACTTTGGCCGTCAAAGTCAGTAATGACTCTTCATGCCTCATGACTGTCATTGCAGCGAAGGTAGTGCGAATGAGCGAATCTACTACAGCAATGCACCGTAAAAGTCTTAGCAGTCGAAGCGATTCGCCATTGAGATAGCTACTAGTCTGGCGTTGCACCTTCACCGAATCGATCGGGTAGTAGACGCGTAAAGCGTCTACAAGTAATTTTCGTACCCCTGCTTGTATGCATCGAATTGACAAGCTCTACAGCGGTATGACAAGCTCTAACTTTACTTTTCCTACCAATCTATGGATCAGCGAACTCCACGTCAATCATCACTGCAAGTTGTCATGAGGTAAACCACGGTCCGGACAAGGTATGAAGCGTTCATCGCTTCTCGATTTACAACTCACACTAGCTTTGGCTTTCGGTTTGTCGGGAACGTAAAAGCTTAGCGAAGGTAATGACTGAACGTCAAGACGAGAAACATGTACTCGAAGCACCTTTGCAAGCTGTCCATTATTCGGGAAAGTGATCCAACAATGGTGAGGCAGTAGTCACTAATTACCTTGCCATCAATTGCGAGAGTGGACTACTGCTCTCTTCGAGAAGGACTCTTCCGCAGTGTTCGAGGCAACCACTTGCGATTCGAGATCTCTGCCTCAGTATCGTCCTACTCATCGCCACCGATGCACATTCTTCGCAACTACTTTCAGCGCTTGGCGAACAAAGTACCACTGTCTGTCAAGTACCCTTCCCTATAGATTATAGCGTTCCTGCAACAACTTGCAGCAATTCTTTGCCAGCCCTGCTTAGTGGCAGTGAAGTGTCTGACGGACTAAGCCAACCCGGTCAGTCTTACGCGATCGCACTTTGATCATGTCGTGCCAACACGTCGGAATGGAAACACAAAATTACTATTGGATCTGTATACCCTGATGGACTGCTCAGCTGTTGCTCGAATGGCGGAAGCCACACGCACGCCTCAACTGACATTGCCTGTGCCACCCACCTGGTCGGGACAACGATAATCCTCAGGCAATAGCGAGCGCTGCAGCTTGTTGAAAGCAAACTGGCGCTTGCCCGTATTCTTCAGTGCATTTTCGATACGTACACCGTGACTGCGCATAACGGAAACGGTTGCAGGTACGCGATGTGCAGGCAGGTCATGATGACGCTGCAGAATACGCACCTGCTCCAATGTTACCGACATGGCTGTGCGGTCCTTGGCACTCTTGCAAACCGTGACGCGACCACCACCAAGCTCCCGACACAGGTCAGACGAGCGCTTCAGAATCTCCGTACGTTTCGTCTTGACCAGACTTTGTGCCGCATCATTGATAGACATCTCAAGTGCACGTAGTTCTTGCGTTACCTCGTCTGGCGTAAGGCGCAACGATGACGCAATCGTCGAATCAACAGACGTGGCTTTGTAACGATGCGATCCAGCGCGACTACGACCAGAAGTTGACAAGCCACTAAGGCCGTTAAGTGGCATGGATACCACAAGACGACGGTACTTCTCACAAAAAGTCTTCAAAGGTTTCAGACTGCGGAAATTGATGATGTCCTGCAGCTCCGTCTTCGCACGCTCTGTGTTGTTCGCGATTGTTTGCATTTCATTGATGCCCTGTGAAAACAGCACTGGTGTCACCTGGATCTCGCCGCCGCTAGCCAGGCGCTCGGGCAATTCCACTTCGCTGGTGGCAACCTGGACCGTCACAATATACTTAACATGAGACCGCTTTGCCCCTGACTTGTTCGAAACCGTAACTTTCACAACACCAGCCTCATCAGCAACGTCTTTGCGCCGTGACATGCGGAACGAGAAACGGTTCATAGGTTTGTCCCGAACATCTTGGATCACAAACGCCACACAACTTAAGTGATCCACAGAACCGGCCATATCTTCCAGCATGCCGATCTCTTTGCCATGGGTAGACAACAACGACTCCACTTGAAAAAGAAAACCCAGGTTGGAAAACTGACGCAGCATATCTTCACCTCGAACAACATCCGGGTTCTGGATCGCAACTTCCACCTTCCGCACAAAGCTGCATGTAAGGGCAGCCAAAGCTTGGGCAAACGCGCAGTCCATCCGAAGCTGCAGATCCCATTTGAGATCGTCATATTCGCGCGCTTCTTCGGGCCACTTGGATAGGTCTAGATCAGCATCTGCAATTTTGGCCTCCATCTTCTTGCGTCTGTTCTGATACGAAAGTATGCCACCCTTGTTGAACTTGTACACGTGAGCTGCGGGTGCGCCGACGGTTGTGAAATCATATGCAGATACTTCCTTCGAAGACCGTCTCCTTTCATCGTTAATGAATGCAGTCGTCGGCCCAATGAGTAAGTCTTGGATGTGCATGTTAATAGGAACGAACCGGAGGTCAGACGACTTCTTCTCCACACTAGCCTTGAAATAGCTCTTGTGCTTGTCGCGATTCACCAAGTACTGGATATTCCTGCGCAGCATTGCCACATATTCTTTGCGTCGTCGAACACGTTCCTCAAGCCACTCGCGAGCGAGCGAAGAGTCTGTATCGTCTTGGATCTGACCAATCAGTGTACCGTAGAAACCCAAATTCTGCTTACCCTTCTTCTGATTAAGGAAGCTGTGCAAGTCTTCACGTGCACGATCGGCCTGTTCCTGACGCTCTGCTGCAATCAGCTCCATCAACTGGCGCGGAATTGCGTTCGAGTAAATGCTTTCCTGTAGATCTTCCACAACAAGACCACCGCCTCCATCTTCTGTGTCGTACTGGAAGAACCGGATGATGTTGCCAATATTCTTGTGAGATGCAGCATCATCGCGACTGGTTATTTCGCCGGGCATCATGACTGTCTGCACACTCAGCTCCGCATTCTTTGCGTTGCCCTTCAATATTTTGTTGATTTCACTCTGCAACGATGGGAACTCCTCCAATATAGCGCACGTGTTTTCGTCCGACGGGTTGATGTTCAACGAGTGACCACTGGCTGCTGCATCAAGCACGGCCTGAGACGAAGTAACAAACTCTAGCACAGGATGGAACATCGTCATTTGAAATGACAGCTGTGGATTGGAAGCAGTGTCTTGACTGCGTGTGCTAGAGCTGGAACGATCCAGACAATTCGAAGACGTCTCACGTTTGCCAAGTGTGCTCGCGTGCACCATAAAGCGCAGCAATGTGTTAGAAGCAGGACCAATCACAGGCACCTCCAACACGGCAACGAAGGGGAAAATAGTGTGCGTGGAGCCTGTCGTCAACACAGATTCCGTTTCGCCTGCAACACCGACCGGTTCCGTTGTGCCCACACATTTCCATGCAGCAGCGCTGTAAATACTATGAAGCGTATTGCTGGACGTGATCGTCTCCTTTGATGAGTAGAAATCGAGCGACACAAAGCATGCACGATCGAATGAAGCTGGTAACTTCAACCGCACGATAATACGCAATCGACTGCCAGGCTCATCACTGTTCAACATCGAATCGCCCATGCTTAAACGATCGCGCAACAATTTCGAGTATGGCATATGGCTTGACGATCCAGATGAGCGCGGGGTGCAATTGAACACGTCCTCTTTGGATGACTGGTCGACAGAAGGTGTGTCGTCGTGCCGAATGTTTTCCGTGCTCGGATTCCACTGCAAGAAGAGCAGAAGTAGCGGTGGAAGGCTATGTGGCAACCACACGATGAAGATGTACCATACTATGTCCGAAAGTTGGTTATCCTCGCCCTTGTGTGAAACGTATTGCGCAACGTAGATGACCTGCGCCGACACGTAAAGGACGCAAGTCGTGGCGATGATAGCGTAAAATATCGTGAGCGACTTGCGGATCCGTGCATCAGATGGATCTTCGTTTAACATGAGCGTCCGTCCACGGCTCATGACCATGCAGCCCAGTATCATCAGCATAAGCGTGTAAACAATGAAACCCGTGCCAAACGCCAAGTAAAATGCCTCCATGTCACAGTCTTCGATAGCAGACCGAATGATCTTGCCCTCGGCAGCAATTGACAGTGCACACTCCTCCTCAGACGAACAAGACGTCGACTTCACATCGTACACACACTCCAACTTCTCTTCTGATACCACAGATACCATCACAATGAAGACCAACACGCAGCCGTTGATCAAGACATAAGCCAGCACGACGGGTGATGTAAAACTGAGTTTCTTGAAACACTTGAACGACAGCACAGTCGCCCAGTGAAAGCAAAGCGACAGAATCATTGCGGTATTAAAGAAATACTGCGCCGTGTACCAGTACACGTATGCTTTCGATGGTTGAATCACCCAGACAAGGTATCCACCAGTCGCCGCTGCAAACGAAAACAGAGCTGTAATCGCCACCAAGTCGGTCCACAACGTATTCACCGTCAACGGCAACCCGTGCCAGCGGATGATCACCAGCGAAAACAAAAAGCAAGCGCTGTACACTACCAAGGTGACAATGTCCAGCGGTGCTGCTTTCAGCGACCGACTGGCATCATCCAGTATGTAGAATGTGATCGGCGTGTTGTCCACAGCAGACGCGAGTCCTTGATATGCTGATAGATACACCTTATCGATCGCAACAGAGTTGTTCGCCGGGTTCAGAAACGTCTCAAATGTAATGTTGACTGTATCACCATTCTGAATACTGCCAGTGAACGAATCCGGAATCGTGAACGAAATGTTGGAAGCACCGACGAATAGGTCTAAGCCAACCGCTTCGACACTATCCGAGTTCGGTAACACCATCGAAGCTGTCGAGACATTCCGAATCATGCCACCAAAATCGGTTTCTCGATCACTCGCCACGCGCAATAGGAAGAAAGCACCCGCACTCAGCACCGCACCACTCGTGACACTCAGTGTCACGGGTGTAGGGCTCATAATAATCGTGTTCTCAGCGGACATTGCCGTGTTCGCAAACATGCCAATGAGCTCGTACGAACGCGACGTCAAGTCCACTCGAAAGGCCTGTTGCATAGCCGTGGAGCCACCAGCTGAGGCGAGACAGCCCGTGCCATCAAACACCATGGAGAGCGTCGTGTCTTCAGTGAACGTGCCAGGGCCAAGTCTCGTGGTCACGCGGTCCACAATGAACTCGTAGCTATTGTGCACCGTCATGAGCGTCGTCAAAGCCTCGGCGTCCAGCGTCATGATCGTCGCATTGCCATTGTCTCGTGTACACTCCACCGCGGTCTCCTTCGTGCCGGCAGCACAGCGCGACGTCGTGCCTTCGAGCAGCCACAGCGTCGGTGTGTCCAGTCGAATTTCACTCGTAAAGTTGCACGACGAGGCCGCCACGGACGCGGGCGTGAGGTCGAACGTCTCGAGCATCTGCGGGAAATTGTACGTCGACGAGACCACGAGCGAGCAGTTGATACACGTGCCATTGCGGGACGAAGCCACTGTCATGCTCGCGACGTCCGAGAGGTCGCTGCCTCTGTCGACGTTCTGGAGATTCGACGTCCGGCACTTGCGGACACAGTCCACGGGGTCCCCGAACAACTGCGTCGTCGTCGCGGCGCTGTTCATGTCGCTGGCGTAGAGGCACTTGTTGGCTTCACATTTGTAGGCGAGCGCCATCGAAAACAAGTCGCCGTGGACTCCACCAATCACCGCGCTGAACGCGAGGAGCAATGCGCCAAACGTCACGAGAGTGCGCACTCGTGTCTCGATTTGTTTGCAGCATTTGGTACCTCGACGAAACGTGGCCAGAGGCATTTGCTCGCATGCACGCTTGTAAGGAGGGTCGTGTCTTGCTAGAGGAGATGGAGAGGGAGGCGGAGGAGGGGGGGGAGGAGGGAGTCGGGCACTGTCAGTCTGGCTGGCTGTCTCCACGGGGATGGAGACTACGCGACCTGCCGCGTCTATTACGATACTACTCTCGCTCGAGTCTCGATCAGGCGCTTCGGAGCCACGACCGAGCGAGTGAGTGGTTGTTTTTCGTGTGCCTTTCCCGCTGGCGAAGCAAGGGAAACCCCTTCCCCTTTGCTTTTCCCCTTCCCCGCGACTAAAACAGACAGAGAGCCAGTTGCGCCCGGTTTTTATCCCGCCGAGAGCGAGTGCGCGCGCATTGTTCCGAGAGAAATCGATAATAGCGGCGAGGTGAAGCTGCTGTAGGAATAAATACAACCACTGCTACATTTGATTGGTACTGCGCTTGCTTGAGTACGACTTGATCGCTCCCTCCGATAAGTTGTCGACAAGTCGATTGTAACCTTCGGTAGATTGCGAACTCGGGCGAACGCACTACCTCGTTCGGTGGCCATACGGTCAGAGTTACAAGTGATAACTAGGATAGAATGACTGCATAGCTGCATCGATCGATGCATAATCAACTGTTGGCTTCTTGCAGCATGACAGGATGCGTAAAACACTATCGTGATCAATACTGTGTGTTGTTGGGAAAGACACCCGACTACGCCATAAGTCAAGGGTGGGCTGAATGATGCGTTCGGTAGTAATATCAAGTTGAAGGGTGTGAAGAACTCGTTAAACAGCCCGAAGAGGATACTTACATCGAGTAGGTAGCAGGCATCACGTAAGATGTCGATCAATTAGTCTAAATGAACTGTTTTGTGCAGAGTGTGCGGCCTATCTACTACGTCCGCCGTCTTCTAGCATCTCGTCTTCGGTCGGCGCCAACTGATCATCCTCGTTCTAATCGATGTGATTAAGAGACTTCGAATCGATTCGGGATTATGTACACGCAGATGTTTGAGCTAGCTCCAGCACCACCTTTTCACCTCCATATAGTAATTAAGCCCAATTGTTCTTCAACTTCTACCTCCTTAATCTCCTTCGTTCATTCTTACTTCCTCTCTCCCATCTCACTCGGAGATACAGTGGGATTAGCAAACAGTCCCGCGTGGTTGAAGCAAAGGAAACGGGTGGTGGCCGAGATCTTGGCCTAGGAAGCTACCGGCCAGCGGATGACAGTCAGTCGGTCACATTAACGATGTTGCCGACGTCCCTGTGCTCGTTACAGTCGACCAGATCCCGCTGATTGTAGCGGTGGTAGTGCCGAATGCGACAGCAATGCTGGCATCCATTTTGAAATGATCTGGTCAAAGAGACTAAACCGTGGTATTGGCAATGTTTAAGTCATTCGTTGGATTCGACAGAGCACTGTCGTCGATGGAGAGAGACTGTCAACCCGCTGCATGTCCAGCTTGTACGCAACTTAAAACTACTTTTCCGTATTTATTGTGTAAAACTAAACGGAGAAGAGTAGGGGGCTTGTCTCACACTTTGGACATGTGCCGGAACTATCATGAAGCTCAGAGTTAAGTACTTTTTAGCGGTGTAAAGATCAGTGACTTTGAGAATGGTGTTCTTTATGTTACAAGTCTTTTTGGCTTGTCGGAGTGTTGAAGGCCTCGCACCTCAGTTAGCACACCAAATGTAACGGGGTTCACACGTAGTTGGATACCTGGCACCCTGTGTCTTAGACCATCGGATGAAATTCCACTGTAAGAGATATCGAATATCTTATCGGCCTATAGGGGCTGACTGGTGTCAGCCACCAGATAGGAGAGATCTTAGTTGTACTTACTTAGGACATAAGTGTATAGATTAGGATCAAGATATTCTATCGGGTTAGATGTAAATAAAATTCAGTTCCCCTTTTGATCTTAAAGACACGTGCCTTGCGAGGCGTCTTTGGTCATTGGTCACTGATCACTAAGAGTTATCAATACCTCCTTGGGGTAGCTAGTTACTCGTGAGCACTAATTGCTGTCGATTCACTATATCGTTAGGTCCCCTGGAACAAGGACCATAAGCTTTAAGCTTGTTGACTCGTTGAGTCTAGTTCTTTAAAGCTAATTTGCTCGTTGAGCGTTAAGTCTTCCTCTGACTAAAGCTGTGTAGCTCCGCTACACTTGGTAGCACTTGTAGTCAATCTATGCCTGAGTCTATTCGGACTGATCCTCTGTGAGGATAGAAAACCCCACTCCCCTCTCTGAAGCCCAAAAGGTCGAGCTTGATAAGCTGACCGCGTCTTTGGGTCCAGAGTACGTAAAGTATCTTGTTTCACAAGGCTCTGATGTGCTGAATGCACGTGTTAAAGGCTTCATGCAGCATGAAGCGACCCTTCTAGGGCAGGTACAGGACCAAGTAGCGTCGGCTATGCCTACACGCTATGTGTCTGTTCCAGACAAATAGGTGCCTCGTCCACTTAGAATGAAAGTTTAGAGCTACTCCGGTAAGGAGGGTGAAAACCTCGTCCTCTGGATCCGTGAGATTGAGATGGCCATGAGATTAGGCCTGATCAAGCTTGACCATCAACAGGTCTCGCTGGCTATCTCAAATCTCGATAAAGAGCTAGAGAATGGGCCGTGACGTGTAGCACGTCGGTAGACTTAGCGGTTCCTACATGGGAGTCGTTAAATTCACAGCTGGTACAGGTAGTCTCACCACCTAACCAAGCTTACCGCGTGCGCTACACGCTTTATGTACACCCGTCAGGGTAAGAATGAATTATCGGACTATGTCCAAAGAGTTGAGAAGTCTCATGGCTGCAATGCAGTCTGACCCTCTGCCCGAGGCAGCTCATGTGACTATCTTCATGGAAGGTCTTTGTACTGGCATTTCCAGAACCGAAGTTTTTTGAGTCCACCCCTCTACGTTCGAAGAGGCCGTGAGAATTGCTTTTAATGCTGAGAATAACTTTAAGTCGGCCAGGCTTGGCTGGATTGGGTACAACCCTAGCTCTGTGAGAGCAAACTCCACAAGTGGTACGGCCTTTAACAGGCCGGAGCTGATGGATGGATCTTAGCTATGCTGAAGATAAGAGTGAAGTTAATCTTCAAGATGCTGAGCAGCAACGCGTCGTACGACGATGTATTACGTGCGGAAACACTAAACACTTGCGGCCTGGTTGCCCTTTGCCTAAACAGCGTCAGGCTACAAGCCAACACTCCACCCCTAGCCAGAAGTCTGGCATGGAACGGGGAAATGCCGACGTCAAGTAGGCGCGGGGCACCCTACTGGGTAAGAACTGGGTTCTGTCACACATTTAGATAGTAAAGTTGAGCAGGGCTTAGCCCCAAATAGCTCCGTACCTATTGGTATGGAGCGTGGATACAAGTCCGGCTTGTTAGTCGCCGAGGCAAAAATTTAAGGCCTTGGAGTGGCATGGATTGATTGGAGGTCTAAGATCTTAGGCGCCACGTGCAACGTTCCTGGTGAAGTTTTGAAGAGTCATGAGCCCACCTTTGCTAGGCAACAGAAGCACTACCGGCGCGAGCCTTTGGCAGAAGATGTTAATGTGCTGGACATTGGAATGTCCGAGTTGTCTAACTCTAATGTTGTAACATAGATTCCGAGAATAACTCGTTAAATATCGGTGATACGGCACGTACTCCGTTTAGTGTTACTCGTTGTGATAACGAGTCACTGCATGTTGAAAGCATGGTTGGCCTAGCGCCGGATTATCAACGATGTGATTTCTTCGATGTTTGTGAAGGGGCACGCAAAAAATTACCGAGTGTGGTCGGCCGTGAAGGTACCACACTTGTTGGCGAAACGCCGTTTAGTTCAGGGCTAGGCCCGCATAAGGTATATAGAGTGGCACGTAGAAATCCACTGGGTGAAGAGTTCGAGTTATGTAGCACTTCACCGGATGTCGGTCAAGACATCGGATCTAGTATAGAGCGCACTACTGTTAGTAGTAATAAAGGGGGCGGCATTATCCCGACCCCTAAGGGGTGTAAGCTTTTTAAGAGACGACTTGGACGCTAGGTGGCAACTGTTAAGCACCAGGCGTTCACATTGTCACTGGTTGGTAATAGTGATACACTATATACGCTTGTTAACGGAGTGAAAGGTCAGGTTGACGGCAATGTTAGCCTCGAAACCCTTCCATCTTTGGATGCTCTGCGTGAGCTAGACGAAATGTCTGATGGCGAGTTTAGACAGACCTTAAAGGCAGGAGATTTGTCCGAATTAGTAGTCATTAGACCCGATGTTGAGTTGAACTCGTCCTCACTAATGGATGAGTTTGTCCTAGAAGACACAAAAGCGGCACTTAGAGCGCAAATTGGATCTTCGATCCTTATAGATCCTTTAAATCCGTTTTATTCTTTTATTAAGTAATTTCGAGATGTGGTGTGTCACAAATTACCGTCTGTCTTACCTCCCGATAGAGGTGTACGTCATGAAATTGACTTAGTTGCCGGAACTAAATACTGCGTAACACGGCAGTGGCCTTTGCCTAAAGAACAGTGTGACGTCATTGGCGATTTGTTTTGTGCTAAGCACGCGGCTGGAATGGTTCGTAAGAGTCAATATCCCCATTCAACATTGACATTTTTTGTCAAGAAGCCAAATGGCAAGTGGCGCATTGTGCATGCTTATAATTAAGCCTAATGCAACTACTATACCGGCTTAGACGCCTATTCCTGGAAAGGATGTTCTTCAGAGCAATATGGTAGGATGTACATTGTACAGTGCACTCGACTTAGCCGATGATTATTACCAGCTGCTTGTGCGAGCGAGTGATATTCTGCTAACAGCGGTGAGTATTCCGAGCAGTATGCTCTGGGAGTGGCTCGTTATGCCACAAGGGCTGTATAACACCCCGGCTGCTTTTAACAGTCTGGTAACGCAACTGTTCATACCTCATCGAGGTTACGAACAAACGTACTTTGACGACATCTTTGTCCATAGTCGTGCAACGAATTGTCCATCGGATGTGGATTACCACATTGAATTATTTA